GTGGGGGTAGGGTTTGGCAGATTTTTTTTTATAAATTCAAAATGCAGGGATGCCTTTTTGTCTATACTTAATCATAGTTTTGAATCATAATGCTTGTGGAAAATTAGGCTTGTCTCGCCTAGGCCTAGCTGTGTATATAAATGCTTTTTATTTTTACTTGTTACTCAATAGTAAAACAATTTTTATAATTTATTACTTATTTCAATCTATATTTTTATAATCTGTCTAAAAAGGAGGGAGGAAACCAAAAAAAGCCGAACCGTCACAAAAAACTATGCATATTATTTCAAATGTGCGTTTCAGACAAAAATAAAAAACAAAACAATTTTTAACATGGCAAGAATTGCCCACCTCTGAATTAAACCTATGAGCTTGGATTTTCTTTTTCGGTAGCATACTGTAGTCTAATAACTACAGCAAGCTGTATTGGGACAATACAGTAAGCTGTAGTGGGACAAGAGAAGAGGAGGGTTGGGGTATCGGAGTGATTTCTAAAAATAGATTTCAATGCCACCTACTATATTTTATAAGATATGTCAAAAAAATAAAGCTGCTGTGCGGTGCAGTTGAGAATGCATTTTTTTAAATCCGTAGTTTTCTCCATTTTGGCAATTGCATAAGAAAGAAATATTATGTCACAAAATTACGCCATATAGCACCAAAGCAAACAAAAACAAATATTTGTAAATTTGTCAACAGGGCGAATATGATGAATATTATACTGTTGCTAGATCTAGCTATTGTAAAAAAAATAAAACAACACTTTTACAATTGAAATGAAACATAGTGGTGTTGTATTATAGCATTTAAAAATATTTCGAGCTTCCTACCCCTCCCATGCACACCCATATGCTTCCAAATCAACACCACTACCCTTCCTCTTGCGTAAGTAATATAATTATGAATGGTCCCCATCCAATTGTTTTTCTCTGTCCATTCACCGCCAGCTATAGAAAAGAGATAAAACTAGAAACCGAAAATGTTGTTTTATTTACTATTGATATATATAATTTTTAAATGGTAAAAAACACCGGAATATATTTTTTAACACGGTCTCGTAAAATTGTATTTCTGAAAGGTCTCAGCCAAAATCGTAAGTATAAACAGATTTGCGTGCTGTAATTTTCAAAGGCTTTTTCAGATAATCAATCACTATTTTTACATTTACAAAAACATTAATCCATTTACCAGGTCTTGAGGGCGGGGTTTACCTTTTGGCGGGCCGTCTGTTGTTCAATTATAAACTGACTATGTATATTATAGAATTGAAATTACCTGTGTGCATACAGAATTAAGTATATTTGTTAACACAGCACTATTGGACCCTAATGTCATGGGCAAACTCAGGAAATAGTATTGTGCAGTAAATTAAGAGGCCAAAAATGAATGAGCTTTATATGCAGACATAACATGTCAGATATATGACACAAGGGGTAGTGAGACCTAATATTAATATATGCATTGTGATCTCCTGCTATGGATAAAAGGTGGACTGGAGTGAACAAGTTAGCTTAGTAAGGGAGCTAATCTTTGGGGAGGAGATAAACTTTGACTTTAAAAAACTCAACCATCCAAGTTAGAAGATAGCTGCCGATTTGGTATGGGAATTGAAATTGGCTGTCTGCGCAAAAATAGGTGAAGAATGCATCAGGTACGTAAAATAAATTTTTTTTAAAAGCCATAACAAGAATTAAGGATATATTAATAACAAATCACTCAATTTAAAACTAGTAAAATTGTGTCTGTTACTAAGACCTGCAGTATTTGAAATTAAAAAATGCAGAGGCAAATTGTGACAAGTATGTATGTTATTGAGATCACTTTTGATGTAAGAAAAACTTATTATAAGAAGATATATATTTTTCTTAAATATACAATGAAATCACATGTGGCTTTGGTGAAGTGGGGAAGGGGGGGCTGCTCCAAAGTTGCTACATTTAAAATTTTAAATATATGACATCCCCGAAAACTAAATTTTAATATATTTTTTTTTAAATCTTTCATCAAAATTTTATGGATAAAGATAATATACTTCATTTGTAACATTTATAAATATATGATACACTTTTCTTTTAGTGGGTTAAAATTTTCTTTATTATAGGTTTATGCAAAACGACTATGCTGAATAATTATTCAAGGTCATGGATAACGGGTCAAGGATAGAGTGATGGTAGGCTAGTGTTTACGGCCTCAAGTGAGTGTTAGATGAAAAAAGTTTGAGAAACGCTGATATCAATAAAGGAAATTTAATATTTCAATGACAGATAATTTATATTCTTATCTAAGAAGACTGCTGTAAAAAAAAAAAAAAAAACCCAATAAAATTAGCTTTTTCTATTTATAAGTTCAAGGGCAAGAATCTCAATTTTCAATTAATTCAATCATTCTAGATGGCTTATACTGGAAAATAAAAAAAGGTTGAGAAACGCTGATATCAATAAAGGAAATTTAAAATTTCAATAACAGATAATTTATATTCTTATCTAAGAAAACTGCTGTAAAAAAAAAAAAAAAAAAACCCAATAAAATTAGCTTTTTCTATTTATAAGTTCAAGGGCAAGAATCTCAATTTTCAATTAATTCAATCATTCTAGATGGCTTATACTGGAAAATGAATAACAGAACTGGCAACCACATATTTGATAAGCTTTCAAAATAAAATACATATTTTCAGTGACAAGTAAAATTTCTGGGTTATTTAGGCTATATCTACCGTTTTTCAGGTATTGGTGCTTTGGTTTGAAAGCTTGTTATTTGAACTGGTTTCCTTATATTTCTATACCATAATAATCAGTAACAACTTGAAACAAAAAAAATATATCAGATATAATAACTATAATTATAAACAACTTGAGCAAAAATATATAATCATACATAACAACTATACACAAATTGTTAACTATATAGTAATTTGAGGTAAAGCATATATTATTTAAAAAATTAAAAAATTTATTAGGGCAAAACTTTAATGTTTTGTTTTAATGATGCACAATTAAAATTCCCAAACAGCAACAGTGTATATAAATACAATAGAGGTTTACAAAGCTGTTGTTTTTTTTAAATTGGGATTTCTTTACAACCTATGTAGGTCTAATAATAAAAAAAAAATTAATTTCTATCAAAGATGAGTTAAAAAGGAATAAAAAGCAGAAAATTATTTTAAATTACTTTAAAATCTTTAACATGTTTTACTTTAATTAATTTTTGAAAATGTTTTCTGCATAGAATTTCTTTATGCAGTGCATTCAAATAATGCTTTAATTATTTTCTACAAATAATAATTATTTATTAGTTACTAAATCAGAGCATCAAATAGCCCATATCACTGCTCTTAACACATACTTGCTATTACTACATTTAAACCTATAAGTTAATATGTAATAAATATATTACACAGTTTGGCCCAACTTACATAACAATTAAGATTTTTTTTTTTTATGATTATAGGAAAAGTGAATAAATTAATATTTTTTTAAAAACAAAGTGAGCCCAAAAAAGATGTTCAAAACTTAAATATAAAAATATTAGCCTACATATATATTAACAGTGTTTAAGTCAAAGGGATGATGGCTGGTTCTAAATTTCCAAACTATTAATATAATAACCTTTATTTTTCTCAGTTAACACTGTTATTGTTATATTAAAATTACATTTATATAAATTACAGCTTTCAAGACTATTACTATTGCCTCAAAAATATGTAAAAATTCCTACTATTAATAATATAGGCCTTCAAGATAGACATATGCTAAAGACAGCTTAATGATCCTTTATTATTACTAACTAACTAAATAATTAGGTATAGTCATAGTAGCCAAACTTGAATAACTAACTTTCACTATTAATAATTTTATTTTTACTGATTTTACTGCTTTTCTTATTAACTTATTATTTTAAATTTAAGCCCCTAAAACAGTAGACCTATATGGGCAGACTAATATATTTATTAATTTAATAGAAAAAGCTAGGTATCATTAGAGATAATAAATTATGTATAATGTAGACTCAATAAAGTAAGGAAATAGTCAAAATAGGGGTGGGGGGATTTAAGAAGGATTTTTTTTTTTTTTATGGACAGCCGGGCTCACAGACAGAATAACATCAGACGGGCTACTATTATTTGATGCATTGAAATGACTTACTGCTAACAACTTACTGATGTTGTCCATCAACATCTTGCAGAATCCTTGCTTGTAATGTTGTAATAATCATATTTTATCAGCATTCCATGTCATTTTCAGACAGAAAACGGGAAAATTCATTGTCCTTTTACATTTTTTTTCAGGTCTATGGTAGTCGGAAGTTGATAGTCTGCGTGTTTTGAAAAGTACAACTCGGCACGAAATGCCAAAACAAATATTCTTTTAAATTATCATATCATTACCACTACTGTTCAAGACAGATGAACAAATATATAATTTATTATTGCAAACTATTATGTGTGAGTTCATACAACTCGAAAATTTATTTGACTTATTTTTAAAAGTTTGATGAAGAGTTGTTAGTATGATGTCCGTATGGCCATGATGGGCTAAACTTCAAATAAAACTAAAACAATTAAAAATTAACAAACTTAGTCTTAGAGAATATAAATGCTAGAGTTAATTTATGAAATATATATTATGTTAGGTCTATTATGATTATACATGTATCTACCACTCACATGTTACATAAATTTAAAATTAACTTGGTATTTTAGCCTAATTTAAATTCTACTACAACTACATTTACATGAGTAATGCCGACTGCTGGTAGTTTATATAAATATAAGTAACATGAAAGAAGGAGTTGATGTGTTCTTGTAGTTAATGAATAATAATGATAATGACATACATTATTTCCATACATTAGAAAAGAAAACGGTTTCAGATTGACTACATAACTTTTTAAACAGCTTTTTTAAATTTACTTTTTAACGTGGAAAATTAAACATTTTCCCCGTGCAATGTATGGTTATACTTTTGAATTAATCTTATAAATAGCAATCTTTACGGTCAAGGCGGGCATTATTTACATTTGAAAACAGCCCAAAATAGTAATTCATTGGTTCCCGTGTTTAAATAAATAAATTTACCTAATGATGGTGACTTGTTTGATGCTCCAGATAAGCTCCCAAGGTTAAATAAACGAGACTTAGCCCCAAATCTTACACAACATTAACCAGTAACGTAACTATTGATTAGTATTAGTACGTTTACACCCGACGACTGGTCCTACTGACTGGTAGTCTTAATTTATGTGGTATTTATTTGCATTTAGCTAGTAATAGTAATGATACTAAATTATTAAACATAGTTTTAGTATATTTATTATTATATTATAAGTAGTACTAAATTGTGTAGGAGTATTTAAATTATTTGTGGGCATTCTCCATCATATTCTGACTTTCATCACAAACCTTTTTTTTTATTAACTTTCTGTTAAAAGTGCATTAAATTTAGGTGCAGTGCATAAATTAATCGATTTTTGCATGAATCTTGAATGTAATTTTATGCTGCAAAGTAAGTGCTTTCTCTTCAAGGTTTCTGACCACACAGCTGCTAGTCTATCGCCTTTGATTCAAAGATACATCCTCCCAAGCGCACATATCATCTCTGATGGCTGGGAAGCCAATGCTAACTAACATTGGCATATACATGCAGGATGTTGTTCTTATCAATGGACCTTTGTTGATCTTGTAGAGACTGAGGTTCACACTGAAAACGTGTATGTGACCGAAGCACAAACTTCACTGTCAGTTTGGAACATCCAGTGAACTGTTCCATTCATATATTCACTAATTTTTATTTGGCAACAAGTTTTGCAACCAAGATATGTTTGTGACCTTCTTGAATATCTTCTCAGAGACTATACAGTTTGAAACACCTCCAACAACATTTCTGATATTTTATTTGTGTTGAACATTAATATATAATTTAGGCTCCAAATATGCACTTTTACTAACTTTTAAATAATAGGTGTAAAAAAATTATAGGCTTTGCACTAACTTCAGGAAAGTGAATTCAGTTACAAAGTATGATTCCTTTCCGATTCCAAGGATAGACGATCTTATAGATCGCATAGGCGATGCCAACACGTGACCAAGATAGATCTACTATCAGGCTATTAGCAGGTTCCTCTATCTGACAGAGCAAAAGAAATCTCTGCTTTCTGTACTCCAGATGGTTTAAGCCAATATAAAGTAATGCCGTTTGGAATGAAAAATGCCCCAGCTTCATTCCAATGTCTAGTTAATAACATTATTGCTGACCAGGAAAATTGCAGCGCATATATTGATGATTTAATTATTTACAGTCAAGATTTTTCAAATTATGTAAACCAGATAAGATCTCTAAAACTTATTAATTGTAGTTAGCACTGTTTTGAGTTTCATAGTCTTTTGCTATTGTATTTCCAATATGGTATCGTCTTTTGTTATGCATTGTTTAGAACAAGCCATAAACTTAAAATAAGAGATTAATTTCTCCCCATAGACAGCAGAGTGTAACAGTATACAGCACAAAGTCCCCTCTTTTGGACTGATTTTTTACATTTCAATTCTACTTACAGCAGTAATCTTAAATAAAATTATAAAAAATATTACTATTTAGTTACTAATGGTACTAAAAATTAATTATTTGTACAAATACAACAGGTAGGTGATGGGACACCTACATTTCCACTAATATCTATTCTGTTGCTCTCCAATTAAGTGGAGAATAATGCAAAACTAGATTCAGGTATGTGCTAAAATGCATCCCTGGATTTTTAATGTATCCAAAATTTCATGGGGGAAGCCCCTTACCATTTTTGCTTAGAAAACTTTGGCATGCTTGATTTCTTTTTCACCCTTCCCCTCCTATCAAAGTTGCCAAACAGCAATTTTAAATCTACAAAAAAGCACTGAATGTTAGTTATTAGTAATAAAAATGATATCTTTGAACTGACAAAATATTATCTCATTTAATTTCTTACTTTTACAAAAGTAATATTTCTTTTTTCACAGAGGAACATCAACTCGTTTCTTACGTGGCACATTCAGCTAAGACTTATAACTTATAGAACATAATGGATTCACCTGACCGCAGGGAAAATTTACAGCTGGTTGCAGAATTAGAGGTACCGTATCTTGGGCCTTGGGTGGTCTTCATTTTACTCAATAATTAGATATTAACTTCATTAAGTCATGCAGAAAAATTTGACAATTTCCATGCTGTCACAGGATGGCTGTGACTACCTTTAGTCAGTAATAAAATGGGCTGTCACCCTTAATTGTCATGCATTCCTAAGTGTTTGTTGCTGTGAGAGGAAGCATACTCTCTTCAACCCTCTGTAACCACAAGTGACAGAGCATCAACAGAGCAGTGCTGTACAGCCTGCATGCAGATTCATGTTGTCCAAGGACTGATTTTTAATTGCCTGCCAGAGCAAAGAACTTTGTATGATTTATGTACAAAATAAAACATACGGTGAAAATATTTTCAAACCATTTTCATTGAGACAGCAGTATTGTTGGGAAATTGAGTGAGAGAACAGAGGTCAAAGCACGGTAAAGGAAATCATAATTATTTAAAAGGTCAAGGGGTGGGCTAACTTGACAGGTTAGGTTGAGCATAGTGGTAGCATAGTGTGGGTCTTCTAGCTACGCTCCAGGATAAAATTTAAAAATCACAGAGTAATGCGGCTCGCATGTTCTTCGCAAACGCAATTCGACCAAGCTAAAACACTTCTGAGAGAGCTGCATTGGCTGCCGGTCTGCCCTCGCATAGAGTACAAAATTGCAACTCTGTGCTACCGCTGCATGCATGACCTGGTGCCGTCCTATCTCAAAATGCTCATGACACCTTATGTACCCACTAGACATTTCCGATCATCCGATAATGACAAACTCTGGATACCGCTCGTTCTCCTTGAGACTTATGGAAGGCGCACTTTCGCATTTGCTGGCCCAACAATTTGGAACGCCCTTCCTGTCGCTCTCAGAAACAGCCAGACACTGGATTCCTTCAAAACTGATTTGAAAACACATAGATTTTGCAAACACCTGTTGGGGTGATGTTGTCTACCATCTTTCCCAGCTAGCTATTGTCTCATAGATAATGTATATTGGCTTGTGCTGTTTATGGTTGCAAATGATGAATGACTTTGAATGGGTATGCTCGTATGTAGTTTTTGTATTGTTGCGTTTTGTATTTCAATGTGGTAAAATATAGATTGTTTTCATTTCTCTTTTAATATGGTTGACTTTGTACCCCGCTTCGAACCTTGGAGATGAAGCGTGATTTTCAAATTAACTTTATTATTATTATTATGCCTGAAACCCCAGCTGGTGTAAGTCCTTTTCTACATCTTTGATCCATCTCATTCTTGGTTGACCAGTGAGCCATCTACCCTTAGGTTTATGCCTGTAGATCACTTTTGTTGCTTTATAATCCGGCACTCTGTCCAGTGCAGTCTGACTTTTTTATTGTTGTGACTGTAGGTGGATCTTTGTATAATTGAGATAGGTCTTTGTTTGTATGGATTCTCCAAACATCAAACTGTCCTGAAAACGATATCAAATTAATTTAAGTTAGACTTTAAGAGAAACCAGGATTCTTGCAGGTTTGATAAATAATATTTAAAGAGGTGAAATAAGCAGGAAAAGGTTAAAAAATATTACTAGCTGGGATATTAACTTCAGTGTGTCTATTTGCAGTGCAAGAAACAGGAACTCCACTCCGCAAATCAACATCTTGCCACCGTCACAGCTAACCTCCGTCACCTGGAGGATGAGAACACAGAGTTAAAGAATGAACTGGAAGAGCTAAGTAAAAGACCTCAGAATTCAATAAGTCAAGAGCAAATAAAGAATGCTTTCCTCTTGAGGCAGCAGGTAAACACTGAGAGGCAAACTTTCTCTCCACCTTGCCCCCAAAGCAGGATTTATACACTATGCTTATTGCTACAATATGAACAAGTGTTTTCTGATTATTATTCTGATTTTGTCTTGCAAGGAACATGTACCTTTTTTTTTTCTTCTTAAGATACTCATCATTTAAAAGAATGTTTAAGCGTAGTTAACTTAAAAAGTTTGAGTTTGAAAAAATTTATAAACAATTTAAAATTGGAAGCAAGAGTTTACAATTGTTTACAGGCAGTTAACACATAATGGAATAGTTAACAATTGTTTAAAGTAGTTACCAGACTTTGTTACTGTGCTCCCCAGCCCCCCCCCCCCCCCCCCTCTTTTTTTTCCCCCCCCCCCCCCCAATTGTTTACAGGCAGTTAACACATAATGGAATAGTTAACAATTGTTTAAAGTAGTTACCAGACTTTGTTACTGTGCTCCCCAGCCCCCCCCCCCGCCTTTTTTTTTCACCCACCCCCTCACACAAATTTAGAATGCCCCATGTATCATGAAATAATATATTCATATATGAAATATATGAAATTTTTCACACTTGTCCCCTTGTTTTTAAAGCCCTCTTTGTTTCACTATGTCATGTGTTTATTCTTATAATTCAGTCAGTTTTTATTCAGATTTGAATGCTGGGAGATTTAAAACCACTTAAATGAAACAAGAATTAATAATGCTATTTATATTTGTAATAAATTTCTTTTTTTTTTAAGATTGCTGAATTGCAGCAGTGCTTAGAAGAATCCCAAAACTCTGAGAAGGAGGCCAGGGCGGATGTTTTGAAACTAGAGAAGAGAATCCAGCACTTGTTGGAAACAGCTCATCCAGCCCCAGTGGCGCCCCAGGAAGAGGATAACATTGTCAGATCTCTCCATTTGATGAACTCAGAACTTCAAGTCAATATTGTGTGTATGAGTTTTGAGTCTTTTTGTTTTTTTTTATGGATACTCTCCCCTGGTCCTTTTTCTGATATTTTGAAAAATCGATTAGTGTGGTAATCTGCAGTAGAAAAGATACAGTATGTTTTTCTTCATCCAGTAACATAAAATTTGAATAAGTTGTAAATTGCCCCAATCACCAAGTAAATATTGTTATGTGTAAGAGAGTCAATCTCCTAGTAAATATTGCTATGTGTAAGGGAGTCAGCCCGTATAGTCAATTTTTTTTGAAAACTAGATTCTGTTGGTTTTTTATTGTTGCAGAGTGCCACGGAATAATAAGGTAACCAAGCTCTGAGTGTCACTTTGATAGGCTATGCTATGCTATAACATGTGCTTACTCACCGACTTTAATGTAGCTTAACGCCGTGTGTTGGGACCTAGCCTCTTGTTCTGCCCCTCATTCATGGCAGGTGACCATTCTATGATGAGCACATGACCCGTCCTCTCTTTTAGTATGTTGACATTGTTCCCCTGTGTGTCCTATATCGGGCAGGTCTAGGCTGCTCATTTTCAGGAGCCTGCATGAGGAAGCAAATTTATTGGTATCTCCCCTTTCCATATTGAACTTTCTCTTCATTAGTTTTTGCTTCTGGTTTTTCTATTTCTCATTACCATACTCTCAGAACAAATAAAAAAACTATAGTTCTCAAGACCAGATTTTCTCTGATTTGTAAACTAAATTTAAAACTGTCAGTCACCGACCAGTCGCCCTCGGATACATTATATAAATGCACTTTCATTTTACACTTATGCATATATTGTGATATTTTGGGGATTCAAATCTAGCATTAAGAAAAATGCTTTAGTACTTTGAACTTGGCTCTTGAACTATTTAGAATTAAAGGCACCTCACAATAAGCGATCCACCAATGAGCCCATTGTGTAATCTATAAAATATTTGGGAAACATGCCCAAAAATTTCAGTCAGTCAGAAATGATCGATTTAACCCGCTTCAGAAAAGTATTATGAGTTTGGCTCAACTTGATAACCATTGTTGACAGGAGTCGCTGCAGTCCAAGCTGACCGAAGCCACAAACGAAATGAGGAATTTACAAAGTCAAAAGAGAGAGCTGGAAAATGAGCTCAAATCTAAGGATGAGGAAATTGAATGCATTGAGGGACAATTTTCTTCTCAGTGCAACATCAACGAGGTACATATTTATTTATGTTTCGATAAATAAAAGTATAAATATTTTTGTATCTGGTTTTTTTAATTTGCTCTGTGACAATCTATAAAAATAATTTTAAATGTTTGGTACAATGTACTCCAATTTTATTGGGATTTGTTTGTCCCAATGTTGATAACATTGATTTATTGCCTTTAAGACTGATCTAAGTTTTATATTTTTAATGTGTTCTGTAATTAAATAGAACATCTGTTTCAGGGTTTACGTGAGGAAAATGCCGAATTACGGGTCCAGCTTGAATCGGAGACCTGCAAAGTTGACACCAAACGGAAAGGGAACTCTTTGTTTTCAGAGGTAAAATAATTGAACTTCTCTATAGGCATTGGTGAAAAAATGTTTTGGATGCAAAATAGAGATATTTGAACTAAGCTTCTGCATTATGTACTAATTCTTACTTGCTATGTTTATTTAGACTTTTTTTATAATATATATATTAACTTAATACTGTTTAATGCTAATATGAAAAGTAAGTTTACTTTAAGCTTAATGAAATATAATTTCTTTTCTATTTATTTTTCAATTTTTTTAAATATTTGTCCAAATGGGGCTCATTGTATTGGCAGGTGGATGATCGCCGTGTGGCAGCAGAGACAAGAATCGTGAAGCTTGAAAGTAGTTTGGGAGAGGTTAAACAACAGCTTGCAAAAGAGCAAAGAGAGAATAAGAGGCTAAAGGTATTGAATGTTTAGTGCTAACTCACTCCCACAGGCTGCCTCATGCATGCCTAAGAAAAGGGAAAGAATCTTTAATTTTAAATGTTTTTCATAAATCTTTTTTTTTTTTTGCATTCAGAAATTGATTGTGTATTGAAAAGGATGGCTTTGATTTTTGAGAAACTAAAGAGGAATGTCAAATAACAGTATACTTTCACATCAGAGTTACACAATAGATCGACAAACAGTACATGCATGTAGATTAAAAACTAAGCTTTATTTTAAAGAACTTCGTTCACACCCAGAATGAGAAAAGTGTGCCATGATTCTCATTTGGTGCATCTGTCAAGTATGGAAGTTCATTAATAATTGTTGCGACTGGATATTATGTGCAGTTGTTTTTTTTTAGAAATTAGTTTAATTAGTTAGTGAATGCTCTTCCTGCGCTTGACTTGGTGACATGTTTTTATGCTTATCATGACGTATTGTCTAGTCTGTTTTGTGAAGTAAGTTTTGGTCGTGGGGCAGTTGTGAAAGGAACTTTGTGGAATAAGGTCTTGTCTTATTTCTCTCTGATAGCATGCCGCGATATACATGTGTACATGGAATTAACAGTCTGTGAATCTAATTATAGAAAAAAAAGTTGCATTTATTATGAAAAAGGATTTGAGATTATTCAGTGCCAGTACGACGTATTACAAGGTGTTACAACATGTAAAAGAACTTGATGAACTAAACCAATCTAGTATGAAGAGGAGTTGACAGCATCCCTTGGTACCCCCATATGACGTGTTTAGTCAAGACTGGTAGAATTGAGTAGTTTGTAACCCAAGTGTCTTATTATATGTTGTTGTTGTATTATTATCTTTTCTCTAATTGGTGACAACAGGGACATGGAAAGTGGGCACGTCTTCCTCAGTGGATAAGGAGTTAGGTCTATGTGGTTGATGTGGTGTCCTGGAGTGTTGGCAGTGAAAGGAGTCATGTGGGGTGTGTGTTTAGCTGGTTAAGTGCAGACATGAGACAGACATGTCCTTGTCTTTTGAATTCAGTTATGGGGTCTTTTGGATGCAGTGTATGAGGTCTTTGGGGTGCCTTGTATCAGGTCTTTTGGATGCCATGTATGTGGTCTTGTTTTTGGCCAGGCATGTGTGTAATGATTAGCTATGATTACATGGATTTTGCATTACTTTAAATTTGTTTTGATATTGAAACCACTTAATATATATTGTCTAAATTATTTTGAGGAGTTCATTCACTTTAAAAATCGCTGGTTTGTCTCTTATTTAAACTTTTTAACTTATCTAGCATTTCAGATTTCAGTATCTTTAAAATGTTATTCAGAGCATCAACCTGCATCTTAGTCTTGATTATAATTATTCGATTACAATTACAATTGAACCTTATCAGTTCCAGACTCTACCGCAACAGGTGAATTTCCGCAAAGCAGGAATCTTTATTTATAAAGGGAATATTTTTTTAGTTAGAGCATAGAAAACCTGGTTACGACCTAAATACGTTTTTCACCATTTGGAGCCTCTGAAATGACGCCCAGTATTCACAAAACAATCGTATCACCACATATTAGACAAAATAAGAGAAAATGAGACATATTAGACGTTACAAATCTATTATTATTGTACGTTTAATTACTGTTATATCGCTGCAACAGGAACTCCAGCCGAGCAAGCGTGACTGTTTATTGCAATATCCATGTACAGGCTGATCCATCACGGACCGGCTGATAATTACAATTGTTTCATCACCGCTGCTACTCAAATCCTGCAACTAATATGTATAAATGACTCGGACAACCGAGCGCGCGCTTTATCAATTTCACTATCTCTATCAACTTTTTACTGAATATATAGTGTTTGAAAAAAGACGCGATAGAGTGAAGTCGAAGTGGGAAGTGGCGAGGGTGGAGTGTAATACATTTTTACGTTATTTCTTATAAGACATGCTACCTTTATCGTCCCAAACCCATAATGCTTAATTCATGCTGTTCTGTTTTAAGCAGTAAACCTTTCGAGCATCATTTCCTTTAATGTCCCCCCCTCCACTTCTTCCATTCAGCAACAGGTTCTACTGCTGCGTCAAACCTCCGGGAATAGTTTTGATGCCGATCAAGTGAAAACCTTGCAGCGTGACCTTGAAAAAAACAAAAAGCATGTCCTCCAGCTCACAGAATCCTTGCAGAAAAAAGACGCAGCCCTGGCCAAGGTTGGATTAGTTTTATAACATTTATTTTACTCCTGATTTTATTGTTTCTACCTCAGATAATCTCTTCAGATTATAATAGCTATTATGGTTTTATTGTCATAATGCATTTGTTTGTTGTTTTTTTTTAAATTGTAGGTACAGCCAACAAATGAAATGAATGTGCCGGTTCTGGATAATCTCTCAGATAATGATAAGAGCTTCATCCGATTTCTACAGGGTCTCGTCAGTCAAAAGAAGTAAGTAGATCTCCTTAAAAGGAAGAAAAGAACATTTTTTTTTTTTTGGGCTGATTTTAATGACCACTGAGGCAGAGGTAGTTTCTTAAAGTTAAAGCGCCTGGGGACCTCTTCTTTTATTCTACACTTATTGTGCTCATCTTTGTTTAAATGTGTATTCAGTTTTGATAGAGTCGTCAGGGTGTTTGGATTTATAAATTTATCTTCTCTTATGGGTGAACAAAAATATAAATTAATACCCATAATGCAATGGAAATAATCTCCTATTTTACACAACAAGCAATAATTTTGATTTTTCTCTAGAAAAGAGCTGGAGGAATCTGAACGTAAGGCCCAGCAGAACTACCTGGACCAGATGCACCTCGACCTTCACCTGACACAAGTCAGGAATGAGCTGATGAACATGACGCACGACAGAGACAGGTTGAGGAGCATGAACGCACATCTCTCCATGACTGTACAAGAATTACAGCAGAAGTATGAGCCGGGTGAGTTTGTGACTTTTGTTTAAAGTAACTGTCATGTTCTTACAGCCTCTCACTTTGTCAAAGAGGATTTCAGTAATGGGTTTATTTGTCAGAATTAGAACTTTTGATTTCTGTTATGACTTATTAATAAATGAATCTAACAGTCATATACGTTTATTAAAATAATCATTCACTAGAAGTTATTTTAAAAGGCACACATACACACCCTCCATCCATAAGACAGCCTTCCAATTATAAAAATTATGTCTGGATTTTTTTTTTTATTGCCAGGTCAGAGTAAATGTCTGTTTACAAGAAGCTGTCAAGTTAAACCATTTTTTTTATACAAGCAGTTGGTGAACATAAACCTTCATTTATTTATTTGATTTCAATTCATCAAAGGGGTGAATAAATGTATTTCTATCTGTAACTTTAAACAAATTGTAACCTTATAATTTATTTTTTCCTTCCTTTTATTCTACAGAACTGGTTTCCCCACAAACTAAAAAAAGCCTCAAGATGATTTCTGTATCAGAAACCGCTAAAACCGCCTTACATCCAAGGGACACCACCAACCTGCAACATATTGAACCCTCAAACTTGAAATTTGACCCTGTTGTGAAGACTCCTTTGGAACAAAGAAATGGGTCGAAAGAAAATGTTCGGTTCTCAGATGACCTTTTTAAATCGAGCCATAAAAAATCTGTGAGTTTAAAATCAGAGGTTAGTGTCATTTCCCCCAAAGGGGAGAGAATGGTTGAAGACTTGAAGGAGAACGATGAAAGAGGCACGAGGTTACTCTATACACAAATTACAACTGAGGAAATTCCTCAAGTTAAAGAGGAGCCTGACAATTGCAGACAGCAGTAGAGTTTCCCACCCTGGTTATGTTTAAATTATTCAATTGGCACTACTGTTAGTGACATTTTTTTTTTAAAAATGGTCCTCCACAGTTTGTTCATTAAGAAATTTCATTTAGCATTCCTCTTGAGCAGGAAAGTGGAGTTTGGGGGAATGAGGAGAAAATGCATAACAAGAACAGACATTGCAACCCAACTCATTAGCGTAAAAGAATTCCTCCGAGTGGTCTGTTAATGAAGCAGTTGTGTAATGCTTTTCTTTCATTGTCATGGTCTGTTGTTGTTTTTTAAATATAATTTCACTTCTTAAGATGAAGTTCGCAGCTATCATTTGTCTTTAATTCAGTTAACCCCCTACTCAAGAATGGCTGCCTCGATTGGCTGAGAATTTCTTCCAGCATTTTACCTCACCTTCCCTAGGCTGTGAGTGAGGTAGAAAATTTTAGCCATTGCCTTATTACAGTGCTAACTATGTCACCCTGCAGCATTTAGCTTTTGAGCTACTTGGGTCAATGATGGTGGCATGAAATTATATTTTGTAGATTTTAGCCTAGGAATTTCGCAGCTGAGTTATATATTATTTCTAAGTCTCAATGACATCACTGGCAAAGCTGGTCTGTTCACATGGTAGTTGTAAACATCCAAAGGAGATACCTTAAACTCATTTTCATGTCCTTATACTTTTAGACAAAAGATTTATTTAATGTAATGAATATTATTGAATGCCTGTTACAATATTACAATGAATGCCTGTTACAATATTACAATAAATGACTGCTGCAATCATACTGAATATTTTCTGTTTTAAGAAATACCTTTCAGTTTGAAAATAAAAATGTGGAATTATTGATATCAAAACACCAATAAATGAGAACATGTAACTTTGCTTCATTTTATTCAGTCCTTTAGTTCACAAAGAAATTGGCAAATGAACATAAATGGGTCACAGTGCTAATCAGACATAATGAAATGAAGAAGAAGTGGTGGAAAATAAGAAAAAAAAGATAATTAAAACCAACAAGACATCTAAATTGCTGCTGTTGATTTCTCAAGCACAGTTTCTAAAATAGGTCACCGAGAAGTGTTTCGCCAAATTATTGTTTTTGAAAGTAAAAAAAAGACCAATTGTGGATTGACACAATTGTTAAGGTGCAGATTTTTTTTTTTTTTTTAAACATTATATACAAGTGAATTCCTAGGCATGAATTTTTCCAATAAGATAGCATGAAATAAAATCAGTCCCAAGTTCACTCAAACTCTCTTTATTTGGGGTACACATCAAAATTATTTAACCCTTTGGAATAAACAACATAATTCTGAGTAACAAATAATTTCATTTGAAAATAGAAAAAGAAACAAGAAAATAACTTTAAATTAATGGCCACGGTTTCATGCAATTGTTTTTTTTCCCCATGATTCTGTTGATATATTTAACAATTTACAACTTATTTAATGATTTAAAGTTATACCTTTTTAAAAAAATTGCTCACTTGAAATTGCATGCAAATTTTATTTGTGTTCAGCATCTCTGCAGGACACAAATTAAAACTTTGAGAAAAAAATTCTTTAAATTCAAAGAAGTATTTGAGTACAGATTTACAACTAATAACTGAAATTACAATGCAGAACAAAATACATTAATAATGGAATCTGGAAGACAAAAATACTAGTAGATTTGTTTGTTTTCTAAAGAAACAATGTGGGAACCAAGTCCAATCAGTTATTCTTAATTATTTTTAAGGAAAAAATACGATTGCATACTAATTAACTTAAATATTAATTCATTCTGGAATTATTCTTAGTGGCAATAGTAATTCTAACATATCTTTACGTAAGACTTGAGACTTTTATAAATAATTCTTGTAACTAAATCACTGATACAAAATGTCAGCACCCAAAAAATGAAAGAATTAAGTTAATAATTTGCTATTATATTCACTGGCCAGAGAAGGAACTATCTTGCCTTGTACGACACTTAGATGCCCAATGGTTTCAAACAAACAATTACACAAGCGTCACTGAATGCCCAAAATAATAGGAATTATACAAAGTACACCAACCTTGACATACAGCACACACATTTTATAAAGGCTTTAATCTCATGAAAATAGGCCCAGCTGTCTCTCACACCCTGAAGTAAGAACTCTCACAATAATCGCATTCACAGACATCCTGCTCACAAATTATTTATTCTACGCTTTAATGCCTTCTAACAACAGTAAAATATATTTCAACAAACAACTTTATAAAATATTAGTGTGTCATCAGCTTTAGAGCTCACTAAACCATATTGATTTAGTAATAAAACAGGTTTGGTACTCTTTGGCTAGTTCTTTGCAACCAAAAGTGTTGACAAAATATTTGGCCATTTTTCATTTTTTGAAGAAAAAAACTCTTGATGGACTCACTTTGATTAGAAACAAAATTTTGCAGAAAATCTATTTCGCATTTTAGATATTCGAGGTAGAGGCCTTGATAAAGACACACTAATATTGGAAAACACATGTACAACTCTGAAAGCTTCAAGATATTTGAGCAAAATCAAGTAAGTGGAAGCTGCATCTATCCAATACTTGGCAACCAGGTTACACTGTCTTGGCTCAGTAAAATACATGGTTTTATCTACACACACAATTATTATTACAGCCCTGAGGAAATGGGAACAAATGTACAAACTTGGTTCAGCATTATCTCATAACCAATCTGTCAGCAGCCTATGTTTTTGTAGTCCTTATTTAATTGATTTGAATGAAGTAAGAGGGGGAGTGACAAAAGGCAACAGCGGTGTTATGAAGTTATGTCATTGTTTATGTTTTATAATACTTGACCCTCATATGATAAAAAGATTTTTTTAACTGGTGAAATGAGACAAGGTTGGTTTTTTTTGTTTTGTTTTTTTTTAAGAAACATTTTTATATCTTTACAATCTTCATAGACTGGTTAATTAAAATAAATACTGACATTGCATAAATGTTGCAGCATGGAAAATAGTAACAAAAAATTCATTTACATATTAATTTAGTAGTCTATTGAATTTTTTTTTAACATACATTCCTAAACCAATGGCTACTGCCACTAATCTCTTTTAAACTGAAAGAGTGTGTTGGACTGCGATTGAAATTTGGTATGAAATCTGGTGACTATCTCAGGTCCCTCTTGATGGTTAACACTGAGCAGCAGCAGAGAAAGCCATCTAGACTAGAGGGCGCAGCACATTTCTGCCTCCCATTAGAAATTCCTTTTTTGTAAGTGAATAAACTTTTCAACGCCGGTTCCGGCAGGTCTCCCACAACATCCAAGGCCACCAGCCAAAAAAACAAAATGACCAGATAGATACACAGTTCTTGTTATCCATTTCTTCATCGAGTCGACTCGCTTTCTGGCATCAGAGCATGCACAACGGCCTCGTAGGTCGCCATGACAATGGCAGTGTTGGGTATTTGTCTTATCAGCTGGGTCCCTAGACCACGATAAAGGCCGGCGCGTCCTTCCTCTCTGAATACTAGGAAAAGTGTTTGGAAAAATGAGTTGTAACGAGATCCTTCCTCCCTCAACCGTGTTCTTGCCACCTCTGGAATAAAAGATTGAGATCAGCATCTTTAAAAAAAGCATAGCCCTGATCAATTGGCCTTATTAAATGATAGCAACTTGATCATGATGTTATTCATACTAATTGAAGGAAATATTAATTTTTTTGTTGTTGTACCCCTTAACTAGTTTAATGGTAAACTGGAGATTTGTTAACGAAAACTCTCAATAATGATAAAAGTTATCTACTCCATATTAATCAACACCAAAATGACAGCAAACAGCCATCTTCACACCAATCAATGATCTAATGACAGCCAGCAGCCATCTTCACACCAATCAATGCTCTAATAACAGCCTCTCTAATGGGGGTAAGACAAACAGGTGGCACTAGTCTATCCTTGGCCTCACCATAGGGGTAAGACAAACAGGTGGCACTAGTCTATCCTTGGCCTCACCATGGGGGTAAGACAAACAGGTGGCACTAGTCTATCCTTGGCCTCACCATGGGGGTAAGACAAACAGGTGGCACTAGTCTATCCTTGGCCTCACCATGGGGGTACCACAAACAGGTGGCACAAGTCTATCCCTGAACTCACCATAGGGGTAAGACAAACAGGTGGCACTAGTCTATCCCTGAACTCACCATGGGGGTAAGACAAACAGGTGGCACTAGTCTATCCCTGAACTCATCATGGGGGTAAGACAAACAGGTGGCACTAGTCTATTCCTGAACTCACCATGGGGGTAACACAAAATGGTGGCACTAGTTTATCCCTGAACTCACCATGGGGGTAAGACAAACAGGTGGCACTAGTCTATCCCTGAACTCACCATGGGGGTAACACAAACAGGTGGCACTAGTCTATCCCTGAACTCACCATGGGGGTAACACAAAATGGTGGCACTAGTTTATCCCTGAACTCACCATGGGGGTAACACAAACAGGTGGCACATGTTTTGGAACACGCCCCAGCCAGCATGTACTTGATATAATCGGAGGTCAAGAATGAGTCTTTGGCATTGCCAGGGGCAGCACCAGTAGCGCTTGTTTCATCGGGGACACCTTCCACAATCAGAGTCTCTGACAGCCTGTCATGATTGCTCTTGTTTTGAAGGTGAGCCTTGATTGCCTCGTACACCACCAGGTGCACCACGGTCTCACTCACACCAAAGTATGAGGCACTGATGCCCTTGTAGAAGCCCCTGATGCCATTCTGTTTGTAAATTCGTTTGATGCACTCCCGACACGTCAGCTTGTTCTCTGCCCTTGAACAGAAAAAAAAACAAAAACATAAATCAGAAGGAACATTTTTAAAGTTAAATTTTATGGACAATTCTCTGTTAGTCCTTCATTCCCGACTAACTTAGCCACAAAATCTTTTCATAAAATTTAACTTTAAAAATGTTCCTTCTGATTTATGTTTTTGTTTTTTTTTCTGTTCAAGGGCAGAGAACAAAACAAAAACATAAATCAGAAGGAACATTTTTAACACATAGGACAATGGGTTGATTTTCTCCCCCCCCCGGGGTTGTGTCAACAGCTGTGTTACGTCCTCATGTCTGCTGTGGTGTCAAAATGGCTGCTTTTTTAAAATTATGTTTAGGTAGAGTTTGCGAGTTGTTTTCATTGGCATCAGAAACCTCCTGATTGGTCAGATTGATTAATACAGAATGTTAGGCAAAGAAACCTCCTGATTGGTCAGTTAATACAGAATGTTAGGCAAAGAAACCTCCTGATTGGTCAGTTAATACAGAATGTTAGGCAAAGAAACCTCCTGATTGGTCAGTTAATACAGAATGTTAGGCAAGTCACACAACATCTTTCCACTCCTTAAGCTGGTAGCATCAGTGTTGTCTCCCCTAGTTACAAAGCTTGCTGCCCCTTCCCCTCCCTTTTCCCACCAAGAACTCAACCATGTGAACATTAACTTCAATGCCAGGACAGTGCCAGGACATTATGTGGAAGTACAGGACATTACCAAGACAGTATCGGAACCCTATTAGGTAATTACCAGGACACTACCAGGAAATTACTAGTATCGTGTGAATATGGGAAGAATAACAGCTATATTCCCACTGCAATTGTTTGGTTTCCATGGCGATGACGTCAGCCTGTCTCTTGATAGACTATTGTGACCCCTGCTCCACGCGTTGAATGAATGACCTGACTCAGAGCAGGCAAGATGGGAGACACACACAGGCATGAGTTCAGATTAAGGACACGGATCACAAGGTCATCTACCTCAGTCGGTCAGTGGGTACGGCAGAAAAATGGGACTGAGGGCAGGCGGGAGGGAGGACAGGCGGGGGGGGGGAGAAAAGGCGGGAGGGAGGGCAGGCGGGAGGGAGG